GGGGGCGGCTCTGGTGGTGGCGCTGACTCTGGTCGCAAGAAATATGTGAGTAACTTGTCTTTGTTATGATGATCTTTATGCGTTTAGACGACTGCATTGAGTTCCTTGTTCAAATAGTATTTCTCCTAATTCTTGATTCTAGTTCTGGGATTTGTATAGGTTCGTTTGTCTTGCATTATTTATGGAATAGACTTTGTGTGATACCAAGGCATTGGAAACTTATGTTTCTTGCTGTGTTAATTATATGAGTTTCCTGTTCCCTCCACCAAACTGCAAAACAAAAACCATTGGATCTTGGAAAGATCCCGATATCATAGAGCCTGTCCCCATCTAGTGCTTGAAGTTAATTAGCTCGGTATAGTTTAGACCGCACAACGCTTTTTTGCAATTATATTTGTAATTCGGAACCTAAATATACATGTGTACACTATTCGATTATTCATGTGAATGGTTTCTTATGTTGATCATGCATTTTAATCTGCACTTTTATGTCATAATTATTGCCAAACTCATGTCTTCAACAAAATATGAAATTGCAGATAAAACTGAAGAAGTGGAAGAGCAGCAGCACCACTACAAGGACCATCACCCCTTCAAGGATCATTACCAAACGCAGAAAGACTGCTGCTGGGTCTGTCATGGTGATTATGACATAATTAGTCACCAAACTGTATAAGACCATTGTCTGTGCCACCATTGTGTTTTGTACCTAGTAAATGTATTAGTCTCGGTCGCTCTAATATAATAATGAGAAAAATGTTGATTGTATCTAACTAAGTACCAAAATAATTAATCCAAATTTATTTGAACAACCAAATGGGAAGAGATTTTAACTGAAAAAATAATAAAAGGAAAATAACAATAAAACTAAACCTAATCAAGATAGGAGGTATTAAGGCATTGATTTCATCATAATCAATCAATATAAATTATGAATTATCAAATTGTTGAGTGTTATTGCATGTGATGGTGGATTTCTTTAAATTAATTAACTAGCTTTTTCAAGTCAAGTTAATTTTTCACTAATTTGTTAAATTAATCATATCTCTATGTAATTTTAAATAAACTAATGAGTATTAAATTCTATGAAAACTTCTAACTTAAGAAGGGGAAGCTCCTAACTCTCCTCTTCTTCCATTACCACATGTGAGTTAATTACCTCTCGGTTTCATAGTCTAGCATACAATTTATATTATTATTGATCTAATTTATGCAATTCTTTCTCAAGTTCATGCATAAATCACTAAATCAATTGAAAAATGATTAGGCTTTCAATGCATTAAGTTCAATAATATAAACTCCTCACGCGAATAACTTTAATTGAAAACATAAAATCACAAAATCCATATTGAATTGATTAGGCTACATCGTAGCCCTAGTAGAATAAATCAATTCACAATAAAAATAATAAAATCTACAATCATAGTTATAAACAAGGAAGAATAAAACTCAATTTGAGAAAATTGCAATCTTTGATCTCCTATTGTTGAATCTTTTATTTTGACCTCCAAAAATGGCCAAAAGAGGGCTGCCACAAGCCTCCAAAACTCCCTTAATTTTTAATTTGGATGAGTATTTATAGGATTTTAGAAACCCTAATTAAAATAGAAATAGTCTTTGGAACATAAATAAGAATTTGAATTTTGGATGCTGATCGCGTGGTGCTGACACTTCGGATTACGTGTTGACACAAAATAGGAAACAAAATCCGATTTTGGACGTTTAACGCATGGTGTCGATAACCAGATCATGTGTCGACACTACATCCGTGTCGGGTTTCTGGTCTCTTTTGCAATTTCTTCAATGGTAAAATAACAGATTTGGTTCCTGACTTCTAGATTCTGCACAAGTTGATCCTCAAGTCTCTGATCTCTTCAATTTACTTCTAAAAAGTAAGATTTCTTCCAATTAAATCCTTTCCTACACAAAAAATAAAAACCATGTAAAATCAAACAAAATCCCATAAAACTCATCTAAATATCAATAATATCAAAGTAAAAATTCCCTATTAATATTAATATGTATATAAATTTAGCTCATCAATAGGCTAGTTTATTTGGTTGAATAACGTAGGCTAGTTTGATATGTTGTTTTTGTGCATGAATATCACATTACGTTACATAATATTGGATGAAACCGAAATTGTTGGGAAACAGATCATAAATTGAGAAATAGAAGTAGGTTGAGGTCCTCAGGAGGTACTTGCATAATATTCATTTTTATTTCTTCTAAAAAAATTGAAGAAAAAAGGCATGACAAACATTTTGGTATAATTGTATTAGCATCCACGGCAGGCTTTTCCATTTCTTCTTTCTAGAGGGTGGTTGAATCATTTATTTCATTATATCGAAAAGTAGCTCCAGAGGCAAGGATATGGACATAGGGAGAATGTGAAAATGAGAGGCAAGTTAAACACCAGTTTAAGGAAAGGAGATGACTACTGTTAATATGCAGCCATGGCTGAGGGCAAAAACAATGGCTACATGGTAATGGGAAAATGACAACTACTGGTACACTGCGAAAGGGATCTCAAAAATTCATGAATATCAGGTTAATGAGTCTTTCCCATCGCCATTCACTCATCAAGTCATCATACTAGTTAAGAACTACGACTAGATTCCACCTAAAGCATGAAATATTATCAATTAGACAACTAGTTTGTCCCCTAAAGAGACCCCTGAATGGTTTCTATGAGAAGAATAGAAGTAAAGGATGGATGAGGAAAGTTTCTGAGATAACCATCATCAAACAAGAGAATAAAAATTAACTTGACAAACACAAAAAATCCTTAAAACTCTTTCAAGGTTGTTGTATGAAATGCCTTTTTCCCTCTTCCTTTTTTTCCCCATGCTAATAAACTTTATATCATCAAATATAACATCATTCACTGTTGGATCAAAGAAATGGAAAAGTAAAAGCAATTTTTTCGAGGAGCTTTCGACATTCATGAGAAGATTAGGTAGCTACGCACCATAATACATACAACTACGGAACCTGTGGCCACAAAACAAAACATGATAAATAGCATTCCACGTCCCGTGACTCAGTAACCACTTGTTGTTCTAAAGGGCAGTCCATGGTTTGTACTTTCAAGTTTCAGATTCAATATATTTCATTAACACCTCTAATATATTAACTTTTAATCATTGTCCTTATCAAAAAAAAAAAAAAAAACATGATAAATGAAAAGGAAAGAAAGGAAAGATCCAACAATCACGACATGATTATTAGATTTGAAGATGACTATGTCATCCTTACTAGTCCCGGCGTCAATGACCATTATCCTTCCTTCTTAAATGAATTAAAGAATATATTGGTCAATTAAGATAACAAAATACATATAATATTAATAATTAAAAATGTGAAAATAACATCTTCTTCTTCTTATATATATTAAAGAATTTCGAAGTAAAGAAGTATTGACTGAAGTGTGTGATTTGACGGTGATATGAGTTGCTTGGGAAGTTGGGATAAAACAGTAAGACACAACTGAGAATGTAAACGTCATTAACCAAATAGCAATCTCAATTCTTGATTCTGCTCACATGACCGCCAACACAGCTTCATGTACATTATAGTTGGAAGCTTTTACCTATTAGATTTAGAAGAAAAATCACACCAAAATTTAAGCACTAAGGAAAAGATTCAAGTGGTTTTGCTCACAGACTGGGCATCTTCCTTGTCATTTTGCAGAGTTGCTAAAGAGTTTGTAGCTGAGTTTTTTGCTGTTACAGTGCCATTACTATCATCATCATGCCTCCTAAGGAGAGAAGAGCAAGAAAATAGATTACACGTGGAACTTGCTTTCTGAAGGCCTCGTATTGCTTTCATTGCAGCAAGAGTACCACGATATACATCCATGCTTTCCTCTCCAAGAGTTGATTAAGCACCCAGAGAAATATTTGTATCTTTATTCAATGGTGAGTTTGACTCGCCTTGTGCAGCAGAAGTGGATTCAACGACTTCTGTTTCAAATGGGATGAGAAGTTCTGGATTTTCCTCACACTCCTGGACTAACCTTGTGAGAGATTCTGTTGTAAAGAACGGCTGACGAAGTGCAATTTGAGTGAAAGGTAGACGCAATAATCCCCCTGTTCTCTTGTCACGTTTCTTCAAAATTTTTACAAACCCTGTTGTAGCAGAAATACAGAAATAGGTAAGAAACTAACAGTGTACCTCAACCTATGTCAGGTAAGGTATGGTGAAAAGAGGTAGATGATTCTGTACCTGCAAAATTGAGGGCGCTATAATTCTTGAGAAGTACCATCTCACCATGAATGATAACAAGGTCCTTACGAATGTCCGTCATTTCTTCACCAAATTCACTCTCTGATGTAAAAACTCCGCATGTGCCACTGGTCTCTTTCACTTGCTCAATCCTTTCCTTCAGCTTCTGTCATATTAGGATCTAAAAGATTAGACAAAAGGTCCGGCAGCATAACTGTGACTTCAGCCCCATCAATATGAAATTGCAGCATATGTTACATCTAAAGAAAATCTCAGCTGAAAGTTAACAGATCCATTTAAGCCTGTTATTGGAGTAAACATCAAAAAATATACTGGACAGGAATATACACTTGAAGTATCAAAATCTTACCAAAAAGATAACAAGATAGATAAGTGAGAACTGATTGCTATTGCATCAGATTAGTGTTATTTTCTCAAAAAGTATTAGTTAGTCTCTTATTCTGATACTGGAGACATGAAGCAGAGCACAAAAAGGGAAAAATTCTACTCAAATTCATGATTAACATAGAAATTTAATAAACTAATGAAAAAATAAACCACTGCCCTCCATCTAGGAAAAACTAGAAAGTTGGCTGCCAAAACCATTGAAGACTTCATTTTGAAAGCTCTAACACAACCAGAACCTTATATCCTGATTCCTGACAGCCATGTACCAAGAAAATGGAGGAAAGCCTGGATTGTCCAGGCTCTGTGGAAATGGGGTCTTCATCAAGAAATGAAGGTGAACTTTCTCTATGGAGCTCATTGGATCTTCCAACAATCTGTTTTGTTAACTGATGGATAGCTTGCATGAGTTCTATTAATTCCTGGCACAAGTGCTAATATTAGAGATTTTGAGGGAGCAATGATATGTAATGATCAATTTGTAGCATTTAAGGTAGTTGTTTTTTGTCATGTTCTTGAATCACGAAGCAAGAGCAGTTGAAAAAGTTTCAACATTTATCTTAATGAATTTTCACTTCTAATACTGGATTTAACAGTGTATCTTAGATTTAACATTGCTCGAAAGTAAACTTCAGCTGTGGATTGCACAGGATATCATAACCAGATCGAGAGGAGAATAATAAGTACAAACAAACTAATTTAAAAAAAATCCAACAACAACAGCAACAACAAGAATTGTGGTGTTGGCCTTTCAATTCATGTTTAAATGAAGTGCCACCGTGAAAAGCAAAAGACAGGATGACTGGTGGCAACGACAATTGGATTTTACATCTTTAAATCTGAAAAGTTTAGAGGACATTAATGAAAATGAAACTGAAAACAAGACTGCCAAGAGAGGAAGAGTAACCACACTGAATTC